AACAAATAGGATTGTCTCCCATCTCACACTCAGGGCCGCTAATAATTGCTGCTGGAGGAGCTCATCTGCCATGGCTGTAAGGGCCTGGCTCTGCCAGGGCATGGGCACCCCTGATCTGGATTTTGGGAGAGCTCTGGGGGCTGGATCAGTGACTCCCACCGTGGCGAGGAGGGTGATGGAGAGGTGCTCCTCACAAAAAGGAGGTGCTGCATTTGGGGGCTGCATTCAGCTTCTTAGGGAGAAGTTCTTTGCAGAGGTGATCAGACATTGGAATTTAAGTGATCAGACATTGGAATGGGCTGCCCAGGGAGGTGGTGAAGTTTCCATCCCTGGAGGTGGTTTAAGAAAGACACTGGATGTGGCATCAGTGCCATGGTCTGGGTGACAGGGTGGTGTTGGGTCAAAGGTTGGGCTCGATGATCCCAGAGGTTTTTTCCAACCTGGCTGATTCTGTAATTCTGTGCTTTTGGTGCCTGAGAGATGAGGAAACCCAGCTGAGATTACCAGTGAACCTACACTGGGTTTACGCTGAGAGTCCTGCCCACCCAGTGGGATCTGACCATCGGTCCATCACCCCAAACTTGGGCCAGTCTTTGTGAAGGTTATCACCTTCCTCTGGTGCCATCAGACCTTCTGGGGTGAATCCTTCCAACTTCCTGCCTTTTTACTGCTCTGCAATATGTCTGCAGGATGTTTTCACGAGCCGAACGTTTGCCAGAAGTTCACAGATCAGTTACAAAACAGATGTACTTTTTTCTTTCTTCTTTTTTTTTTTTTCCTCTCCCCTTCTTCCTACTGGTAAGGAAGAGTTTGTGCAGTAATTGCAGGCAGGTTGGGAGATGTTTTCTTCATAATTCTCCTTCTTATGAAATGTTTATGAAACACCTTCCACAAATCAGTTACGCAAGCAAGCTCAGGAGCTTTGATCATTTTCCATCACCCTCAATATGTTTCTTAGTTTGTTTTGCTTTTTGTTTTTGTGTTTAGGCCAGAGATAGGTAAGAAACCATCCATCCTTGCCCAGGCCCAGCAGATGTTCAAGCCAACTACGGAAGGGACTCTCTCTACCCTGTCACCCTTCCTGTGTTTTTTCACTCGGATTGCTCGGGGGCAGCTGACCCTGTTTTAAGGCTGTGAAAACATCCACTTGAGATTTGCAAGTGTGATTCCTTTCCTATCCCGGCGCTCCCGTGCCACCACCTGCCGTTACCTGCTCCAGAGGGAGCTGGAAGCTGCTCCCAGCCCTGCCTGGGGACTCCCCTCCAGCCCCAAAGGGAGGGTGAAGGTGCCTGTAAATTCACAGCCAACAGCCCAGGCCCCTTTCCTCACCTCCTGACAGGGTGTGTTTGCAGGGCATCGCTTGGTCCTGTTCATTTTTCATGGGATCATGGAATGGTTGGCGTTGGAAGGGGCCTTACAGATCATCTCGCTCCAATCTCCCATCCATGAGCGGGGAACCTTCCTCTCAACCAGGTTGCTATCCTTATATACTGTTATTCCCCCAGATAAAATTCAGTGGGAGCGAACTTAGACTTGCTCTCAATGACTTCTTGTTCCCCATTTCCCATCTGTCACGATGGCCACCCAAGTCCTGAGCGATCCCAGTGGGATCTAATCCCGGTTTTTACCAAACCAACGTTGCTCGCTCGCAAGGTCTCACAGTTCTCATCGAATATCCACATGAGGTGATTCTGTGATGACTTCAACCTTTTTTTTTTTCAGTTCCTCAGTGAAAACTCTTCCCAGATTTGCAGGCATTTTCCCCAAATGCGAGGCACACGCGCTGGGAAAAAGGAGGAGGCAACTCCTCCCCTGGTTTGATTAATTTGAAATTCACATTATTTTATTACGGGAGTCTCATGATATTGAGCTGCCTCGCCCACAATGTGTGTGGTTTTTTGGGGTTTTTGGGGTTGGTTTTTTGTTTTCCAGGCACAGTTGGTGATATTGCCGGTTTGGCCAGGGGAAAAATAATAATAATAAAAAAAAAAAAACAAACCATGAAGGTGCAGGATTTGCATAAAACCACCCCAAAAGTTTTGGATATACCCCCCAACTCCTGCCAAGGAACAATTAACCAGCTGCAGGCCTGGTGGGGAGAGGAAGAGGAGGGAGAGGTAAATTCGAGCCTAAACCCAATGGAAATAGGTGCAAAGGGGGGGGTGGGGGGGAGAAGGATTTGTCAAGAACCCGCAGGTTCCCGCCCACTGCGCAGGAGGGAGCCAGAGAATTCCAGGGACGGGGGAAGGAGCAGTGGGAGATGTTGTTGTTTTTAAATCGGGAACCGGTCCTTTGCCAAACCCACCTCCCGTTCCCATCTTGTGCGATGCCGGGGCGCAGCAACACACCCCTTTCTCCCTGGAACGAGTCCAGATCGTCCCGCTTGGCAGCTGGAAAAATTGATTTCAGTTTGGAAATGGCTTGTGCTCCTTCAACACCCCGCTCCTATCGGGATCGGAACTCAGGCGGGACCCGGCGCCTTGTTCTCTGAGACCTTCAAGACTTCATTATTATTTTTTTGGGGGGACTGTTTTGTTTTGTTGTTTTTTTGGGTTTTTTTGTTTTTTTCTGGAGGACTGCGTGGCACGAGGCGCACACACACGTGAACTGCAAGCGAAATTATTGATATTTTTTTTTTAAATTATTATTTATATTTTTTCCTTTTTTTCTTTTTTTTTGGCCTTTTTTTTTTTTTTTTTAATGCATCCTCGGAAAGAAAAACATCCATAAATCCCCTTGCCTGCAATGACTCAGGGGTAACGGTGTGTTCTCCTGAACCTTTTGTGTATCCTTCACTGATTTGGACACTATCACTTGATAGTGATCAAGAAGATCTTTCCATCTTTTGTTTATTTTTTTTTTTCCACCAGG